TTGTCTAATATCTTTCTGACAACCATAACAGTTAAACTACCTGAATTAATTACCATTAAAATTGATTTGAAGTGAGAGCAGCTAACACCCAAAACCCAGGTATACCTGATTCACAGTAGGGCCAGAATAGCAAAAGGCATCAGGACTGTGCACAGACTTGCAGTCATAGAATGCACAGTTCATAACACATTTTTTCTGCTGTCTTTTACAAGGGCCATTTAGCAATCAGAAATAGATGAAGGCGGATAGAAAAAAAATGAGCGTACCTCTCACACACTTCATAGCACTGCTCCATTTCTCAATTAGTCAGCTAATGTTATATGTTCCTAGCACAAAATACCACTGGAAGGTTCTACTGGGGCTAGATGAACTTCTACTATTCCAGCACAGAAGTGAAGTAGTTTAAACCTGAAATCCATAGTCCAATTTTTTAACTGGAGTGTCCTGTTGGATTTTTATAGAAATGAGTCTGGGTAATCTGAACAACCCTGATTTCTTGCCTAATACTTCAAAACTACAGTTGTACAAATTATGATTTCCTGTTTCACAATGCTATTACTTCTTTAATAAATATAATATTTCTTTGTAATTTGGATTTATATGACTGCAATAAATATAATGTCCTGATGTGTGAGTGTGTATACAACAGCATTTTTAAGTTAGCTCTTATTTTTAATTTTTGACATTTAGTTCTGTGTCTATTTTTTTTTTTTTTTTTTGAGCTCCATTCTCCTTAATTAAAACCAGATGGAATGTGTTATACTGTGCATGACACTAAATGGAATCTAACAACAACAGTAGATTTTTCCAGTGAAATAAACAATGACATTGCCATTTTTATTCAGCTTTATTATTTATGATACTAAAACTATTAGAGCCTTTTAAATATTGAAAATGTGTGTGATTATTTAATAGAGAGGAAGAGATCTCTGAAGTAAGTCAAATGAAGGAAAAGAAATAGTAGTGTTTTAGTGAAGGAAACCAATAGAATTGTATTTGCTGCTAGTTGCTAAATACTGGTAAAATGAAAGGCAATACAACAGTTAATAGAGCAGTCTTCTGAAGATTTTAAACCTTATAGTATGGTATGAAACTTTGACTAAATCTCTTTGACAGTCTCAAGTCAAGGATAAAGAACAGAAGTTGGAGGAGCTTAGCTCTAAAATTTCAGAACTCAAAGAACTGACTCATAGTCAAGAGCCTCCTGCAGATCTCCAGGTAAAACAAAGTTCTTGTGATTCACAGACTGTTCAAATGGCTAAGAAGAAACTCCTTTTGAAATTTCTGTCTCTCCTGTACTGCCTTTTTCTTTGAAGGCGACAGATACAACACTCTGTGGGCATCAGTTTGTTGTATGTTTTTTTCCATATTCTTCATTTTAGACTTTTCTGAAAAAGAATGCCATGAAGTAATTGAACACTAGAGGTGTAAAAGTATTTTTATCAAGTCAAAATTGAATAAGTACCTCAGAAGGTAGCTGGACAAATCTGATTCAGATAATCTCTACAATGTACAACCTTAAGCCAAATCATATGTGAGCACGAACACATTTTGCCTCCTTAAAATAATTATAATGCAGTGGAAGTATGTGTATTTATCAAACCAGAATTATTATTTAGTAGTCTGAAATTAATGCACTGAGCTAGCTGTTACTAAAGTGGAGTAAAACAGGTCACTGAAAGTGAGCTGCTGAACTTTTGTGACTGGGTAGGTCCATATTTTGGGCACATGCAAAACAACAATATGACTATTTTAGATGTTAGATTTCAAAAGGAAATTGGTATGCAAGAACTAAGCTTTCAGTATGTCAGAAGTATTATAAGATAAACTGACTTCTGTGATTTCTACAGATATTTCCAGGAAAATGTAATAATACACAATTACTTTTAAAATATATATCAGATTTTAACTGAACATAATCTAACACTCATGTCTTGTCCATATTATGCAGTGATCATAAACATTAGCCTAATTATAGAACAGAACCCTGTAGTCTGAAGATGCTTAAACTGTGTGGAAATGCTTATTTTCTCCTAAATGTTTCCTTTGTGTGAGCGGTTCAGAAGCTTCAGATTTAAGTTATGTTTATAATAAATTGAATATCTGATCACTCATAACACAAAACCTAGAGCATGTTATTTTGCAAATATCTAATTGCTGAATGTGATAAATATAATAAAATGCACATATATACAGTAGAATAGTTGTGGATATGAACTTACGAGTTTTTGGTTTACTTTTAATTGGTAAAATGTATAGTGTGTATTTTTTTTAATTTAAATGTTTTAAAAATTAACACTTTGCTTTTAGTTTATAGAATCAGATTTAAGGCAAAAACTGGAACATGCCAAAGAAATGTCACAGACAGCAAAAGAGACACTAAAAGATTTCATTTCCCAGAAGATGCAGTTACAGAAGTTTATTGACAAGATGACACACTGGTTAATAGAAACGGAAGAGACACTTTTAAGATGCTCACGTAACCTGGACCTTGAAGCTCTAAATCTAGTAAAGGTCAGTGCTGAAGAAAATGAACATACTTTTTTCTTAATGAGATTAACTTTGTTTTTTGTTGGAATTTTTACTAGCTAGGTACAACAGTTAAGCTTTATATTTCATTTTCACTTGTTAAAAAAAGTAAATACCTTAGAGGTGTATTTGTGACAAACCATGCTGAGATTTTTTCCATTATGAGCTTGGGTTAATGCTGATATACCAGCCAATTGAAATTCAATTTGATGATGAATATTCCTCTCTAGTCTGACAAAAACTTCCTTTCATTCAGAAGTCCCAGCAAATTCCAATGTCATAGTGCATCTCAGGTGTAATTCCAAACTGTGCTGAAAATTATTATTGTTATTCAACATGCTTTACACTTATTATTTTAAAAATAAAATATCAAGCCATGTGAAATAGCACTTTCATATTTCTGTGCTGACTGTTTAGTTTCAAGAATTCATCTCATTTGGAAAATTCAGGAACCTTGATCCAGTACTTCTGTTGATTATGATTAGTACTTGTAACGCACCATAAAAGGAAAGAGCATAAAGGAGGAGAAAGAATGCTTGAGAAAGTAGAGGGCTCTATTGTTTCTTTACAGATGTCATATTTGTGTTATAACTTCATTTTCAGGAAACACAAAAAGACCTGCAGCTCCAGCAGAGCAGCATTGATTCAACCCGTGAGAACCTCAACAGACTGTGTCGCAAGTACCATTCTGTAGAGCTAGAAACTCTTGGTGGCACTGTCACTTCACTAATAAAGAAGTATGAAGCTGTGAATCAGCTCTGTTCCAGAACACAGGCCAACATACAAGAGTGCTTGGAAAAACATTTCCTCTGTGAGTCTTGCTAACAAACCATTAGCCCACAGTCATGAATCATTTGGGAGCCTGCCTGAGTTTCCAGTGATGTCATTTGCAATTATAACGTTATTTTTGTATGCAGCCTTTCAAAAAGTTAACAGATTGCCATATCCCATTTGCTACAAAACCAAGCATTATACAAAAACAGAATTCAACATAAAATATTTCTGAAAGGCAAGCTTACTTTCTTCAATAGCTATGTATGTTGCTGCTTCATAGTCTCAGATTCTCCTGTTTTAGTATTCATCTCTACTACACACAAACACTTTGAGTATTCACCAGTTGGAAATTTATTTAGCCAAATGGAGATAGTAAGTTCCCATCTGAAGAAGTTCCTGGGCTTCCTGAAAAATCATTGGAGAGAAACAGGCAATTTTATATCTTAGACATTAAGATACTAACCTAGATGTTTATCTAACGTTAAGTTGGAATAAATAGCAGCCTGGAATTGTCTGTCTTTCCCATCAACTATAAAGAGAAGCCCAGTGTAAGTGTTCTATTTGGATGTTTTGTGAATTGTGCTACCCAAGGTCACTGAAGACAGTGAGATTCATCCTTTTAGCTTTTACCTGGGGGACCAGATGGATAAATTAAGTGGGAAAGGCAGCTGGATCAGCAGTATTGTGATAAAGATGCTTTGTAAAAAAAAATACAATCTTTATTCTTTTTTATTAAATAGATACTATGCAAGAATTCCAGGAATGGTTTTCTGATGTGAAGGCTGCAGTAAAAGAATTATCTGACAGGTCTGGAGATAGCAAAGTCATAGAGGCAAAGCTGCATGATTTGCAGGTATAGTTAACAAATCAAAAACCAGTAACAAGTGATATAACTATGCATAGATATCAAATTTTCTCTCTTAAATAATTTGTAGAAACCATCGTACTCACTGATTTTATTTCTGAAAAATAATATAAAAATAAATCAACACAGCAATGCATACTTTAGAGGAAATACAGTGGAAATTGTTTACTGTTCTGAAAGATCGGACTGAAGTTTATGTATAACCGAATCATTCTTGTTTGTGATTTTTATTGTTTCATTTTTTTTGTTTTGCATTCATTCTTTTCCTTTTTCTATTCCTTCTATACTTTCTACTTCAGATGAACCATGTTGTGTCAAATATAGCCTGTATTGATTTTTTGCTGGGATAGAGAACAAATATAGCAGACAGCTAATGTAAACGGCTATATAATATAATATATAATATTTTTATATATTATATAAATATAATTTTACAAATATATAAAATATATTATAAAATTATATATTAGATAAATATTCTATAAATATAATATATAAACAGCTAACGTAATTTCTAAAATACCTATTATTTTCAGCTTACTTCAGAGAAGACAGAACTACTTTGTGATAGGAAAATTGAGCTTTGTGAATTGTAGTACCACTTAAAACACTTTATTTGAACTTTCTACTTGGAATTTTTTCCTCACCAGACATGGTTCCTAGCTTATTAAAATCTAACCACTTATAATATAAATTTTGCTTGTCTTTATTAAGTCTTGAAAGTTTGAACAGTGTTCTTTCACCATACAGATTGTGCTAGATTCCCTCAGTGAGGGGCAAAACAAGTTAGATGCTGCCTCCAAGGAAGGAGAAAACTTGTACACTTGCTTACCTCAACCAGCTGTGATCCATATTCAGGAGCAAGTAGCAAAGTCTAATCAGAACTTCAAAGAATTCCTCAGTCAGTGTCTGAATGATAAGCAGGCTCTGGAAGCTTGTGCCTCATACCTGGGAAGGTGAGTTGCAGATAGACTGCATGAAATTTTCAAGCTGTAGAAATACAATTGCAATTTACTGTTAACTAATTCTGTTTGCTCTTTTTCTTTGGAAATATTTAGCAACAAACAAAAAACAGGTCATATATGAGGAAGAATTGTGAGCTCATATGATCCCAAATAAATAGTTGAAATCTCAGTAATTTAAATGCAATTTCCTGGAATGAAAAAATGAATTTTCAGGTTCTGCCTGGATGTTTGAAGATAGTGTGTGCTTTCTACAAAGCATATGCCTGTCCTATACCATTCCAAATGAACATATTTCCCAAAAAGCTAGTAAGAAAACATTCTTAATTTAGCCCTTTTAATTGGAATTTTGAGAGTTTAAATGCTTTTAAGTATAATTAGATTCAAAACTGCTGCTAGCTGAAAGCAAATTTAGTGTAGCAATAAAGGGTAAGAGATCAAGATGAGATGACATGCCTTCATATAAGTAAAAAGTTTACAATCAGGGACTTGGGTGCAGAGCATACTGAGTTGAGTTCTCAACAGTCCAGATTCCACTTATTTTGTCAGTGAAGCTGAAAACACAAAACTTCAGGTACTGTGTGTGTCAGTACTGAGTAAAAGCCCATTTCCATCTGTTTGTTCATTTGTCTCGGACAATATTATTATAAGGATCTGGGAATATTTTTTCTTTTTTACTGTCTTCATTGAGACTAGTAGTAAATAAAAGTACTGCCACTTTAAATTTTGAAGGCTACTTTTCTCATGCAGTTCCCATGATTTTCCTGAACGTTTTTAGAGAGTTGCCGAATATTTTTAGATTACTAGTCACTGTGGAATTATGTTTTGTACAACTCCTATTCGCTAAGAATGAAATTGATACCTAGCTTTGTTTTCTCAGTCTTGTGGATACTGAAAGAACTGAGTTAACTTCTTACTAACTTCACTCCCCTCAAGAAATTAAGGGAATATTTATCTAATCTGTAGCTTTGAAGAACAGCACAAGAAATTCAGCCTGTGGATACATGACATGGAAGAAAGAATGAGCACAGAAGCATTAGGAGAGGTCAAAGAGCTTATTCCTGAGAAGAAAAAGGAGGTGCAGAAAGTAGAAAAGTTTCTGGAAGAGTTGCTGGCTTCAAGGTACATTTCTTAATATACTCTTATTTTTTTTCCTCTGTTAAAAACATTTAGTAGAAGGAATAGTAAAAACATACCATATCCATTTATAAAATTTTCTTTCTTTCTGTTCTGTGAAATTCATATCTGACCAGATTAGTTGGATCTGATACAGTTGAATTTGTATTAAGAGCTCAAATAGCATCCACATCGGCAGTGAAATATTTCTAGAATTCAGACTTAGCCAGTGGGTGATGAAGTAATTGCCATTTTTAGTATACTGTGGTTTTACAAACTTTTTAAAATTGCTATTTGGTTTGTCAAGATATAAAAGAAATAGCAGTAAAGTAGTTCAAGTGGTAGTCAAGTAGTTCTTGCCTCACAACACGCTAAAAGGAAGCACTTGGTCATTGTCTACTTGAGCCTGATGTAAGACATCTTGGTCTGATGTAAATTCCTGTAATCATAGGTTATCCGGAAGTTTGAGATTGAGGCTGTGTAAGGCCAGAGTTTTAATCCTTTTTACTGAGCCTTCTACCCAACCCCAGATTCAGTATCTAATCCTGGGCAAATGGCCTGACCATCATGCATTCCCACCTAAGTCTATAAACTGCTGAGAAGCTTTGGAACGTGCAGAAAGGTAGTAACTCATGCAGAACTGGAAGTCTGAGAGCCATAAAGAAAATAAGTTAGCTTTTTATTTAAATGTGCAAAAGAAAGATTTCAGTATCACAATTTGGAGCATCAAAATCTGCAATAAATTGCCCTATTCACAAGTAAATATATGAATCAGTATACAATATTTCTTTTAAATCTCTCCCAGCTACATTTTCTGTTAACTACCATCTCTAACACTGGTGGAGTATGTGATTATGTGAACAGTCTTCGTAACTTCTCATAGTTGCTACAACAATGTCATATGCTTTTTGAAATTGATTTGCAATCTCAATTCTTTCTTTCAGGGAATCTTGCGAAAAGCTGGCCCAAATTGCACAGGCTTTAAATGAGGAAGGACATGGTGCAGGAAGGGAAGTGCGCCTGGCCTCTCAACATCTCACCAATTATCAAAACATGGTCAAAACTGTCAAGGACAAGCTGCGAACATGTCAACTTGCACTCCAGGAGCACCTCACTCTGGAGGAAGCACTACAGAGCATGTGGTCATGGGTGAAAGAGGTTCAAGAAAAACTGGCCTTGGCTGAGAGTACAGTTGGTAGCAAAGCCACGCTAGAGCGACGTCTGACACAAATTCAGGTAAAGAATAGTAGGACTGAACTTTATGTATCATCAAGATTATAACTATGTGAGGGCCACATCAATGGAAGAGGAATGGGGTTTTTTTGTTGTTGTTTTTTGGTTTTGTTTTTTTTTTTTTGTATTTTTGTATTGTATTTTTACACTGTTATAAAGAAGATGATTTGAATTTAAAACCACCTTAAGCTGGGAGATGCAATGTGAGAAACAGGACGAAGTTTAATGGAGAGGGATGTGAGGTATTATATTTAAAGAGGAATGACCAACTGTGGAAGTGTGTATTCAGATTCAAAAGCTGTCTAATGGAGAAAGCCTTGAAATTATTCACCTAGAAAGCCTGTGGCATATATATATTACAGGAGGTTTTCGAGAACAGGCTAGATAGACATCAGTTGGAAAGATTAGTCAAGCTGTGTGCTGCTGTCTTTCTGTGCAGTCCTTGAAATACTCATTATCTGCTGCAATGTAAGCAATATTTTAGGATGACTAAGACAGTGAAATACCTGTGTAACTGTAGGGAAAACCACCAGATTCCTTGCATATAATAAGGGATAGACACCTAGAAAAACAGGAATTCATTCTGGACATGTTTGTCAAGGGTAAACGAGTTCAGAAATTGTGTTCTCTGCTGAAAGAATGACAGCCTTCAGCTGCCAGCAGATTGCACTTAACATTTTGATTTATTTTGCCCCACAGGAGATTCTCTTACTCAAAGGAGATGGTGAAGTTAAGCTGAACATGGCTATTGGCAAAGGAGAACAAGCACTTAGAAGCAGCAATGAGGAAGGACAAAAGGTGATACAGACAGAGCTACAAAAACTGAAGGATGTATGGAATGACATCATCAGCACATCCATGAGCTGGCAGAGGTAAAACTCACTGAAAAACATGGGTCAAACCCTGACACCTTGCTTAGCACCAAAGAGTAGTATCTTACAGCACACAGGAGCCCACTCTTTCATCTACCAGGACCCCTAGGTCTTTCCCTGTAGGGCTGCTCTCAAGGATTGTTCCTCCCAGTCTGTATATATGTGCCTGGGATTCCTCTGGCCCAAGTGTAAAACCTTGCATTTTACTGTGTTGAAACCCACTATATACTCCCAGGCCCATCTTTGAGGTACCGCTGAATGGCATCACTTCCTTCCATTGTGTCAACCGCATCGCTCAGCTTGGTGCCATCAGAAACTTGCTGAGGGTGCACTCAATTCTATCATTGATGTCACTGATGAAGATGTTAAAGAGCACCGGTCCTAAGACAGACCTCTGGGGGATGCTGCTCATTACCAGCCTCCACTTGGACATACAACCATTGATCACCACCCTTTGTCTGTGGCCTTTCAACCAATTCCTTATCCACTAGGTGGTCTACCCATCAAATCCACATCCCTCCAATTTGGAGATAAGGATGTCGTGGGGGACCATGTCAAGGGTCTTGCACAAGACCAGGTAAATAGCTTCAGTTGCTTTCCTTTTGTCCATCAGTACTGTCACTCCATCATAGAAGGCCACCAGATTGGTTAGGAACAACCTTCCCCTGGTGAAGCTGTGCTGGCTGTCTCCGATTACACAGTCATTCCTCATGCAATCTAATATGTCATGCAGGAGGATCTAATATTCAGAAAAGATAGTAATTGAAAGTAGGTTTATGTTTTCCTGCATTTGACACAATATAATTTCTGAATAGAATATCATTACTTTTGATTTCCTTCATCATTCTTACCAATCTGTTCTAGAACAAGTTTCTCCTTTGTTTCCAGTTGGACCATATTACTTAAATTTATTTTATTTTTTGTCCTCTGAAATCTCTGAATTGCTTTCCGTTGTACTAAACCAGGCTATTCTCAATTTTTGTATTTGTAGATCTGATTACCTCTTCCTATGCAAAGATACTTTTTCACTACCAAATTCCACCCTCCTTTCATTTCTTTGAACATCTGACATTTAAATTCTGTTATTCAAGCTAGCAGCAGCCCTTCCCTATTTATCATCTATGAGTTTTACAAGCAATATAAGTTCCATCCTCCTAATCAATGTTGGATAGAAAATGGACTTCTGCATGATCCTATTTCCTTAGCTTTCTAATAACATCAAAGTTTTCTCTGCATCAGAAAACTGTCATAGGTCTGTACTTTAAACAGCTAAGTGCCAACGTATCTCTGTCTTTAATATCAGTTATGGAAGGGGCTATGATACAGGTAAACAGGAGTTCTTCAATTAAAATTGATGTCTCTTATAGTCAAAAACAGTAATACATTTTGATCTAGAAATTTGTAATGGGATGCTTTATGGTTTTATTCTAACTTCAAAAATTTATGTCATAAAATATTGTGTGTATTAGGGGAGACTATCATATTTTGAATGAAATCCTTACCATAGTCATGACTCCTGCTAAGTCCAATGGAATCAGAAATGCATTCCTCAATACAAGTCCCAGAGAGACTGGGAGATCTGCTAGGAGGAGCAATATATAAAGAAAGGTGTATATACATATATATAAATATATATATAAATATATATATAAATATATATATATAAAAGAATACATATTTTCTCAGTATTAATGGTAAATATATATATTTATTATTAGTGGTAAAATGGACTATATATAACTGACTTATTCTTCAAAAAGTCTCTGGAATACAATTTAATAGTCAATAACTTTACGTTTTATTTCTGTGATCATAATAAGCTTCACTAATGCTCTATGTTTTACTTTGCTATGCAGACAATGAAATATGTATTTCATTAGCATGAGACAGATATGTTGCTCATGTAACCTGTACTAGAGAAGCAGTTTTATCAGGTTATATGTAGCAGTAGTGCAAAGAACACACAAATTCTAGAATATCTTGGATTTAAGCTGATAAAGAAAACTAAAACAAGATGGAGGAAACAGCATATTCTAAACATATTATAGATGACTACACAGTCTAACGGTATAAATAGACATTTTTTGCTTAGACCTTTTGAAAGTTCTCATCTGTAATGCATATGTTTCTTTTAATGTAAGCTGCTTAGAGTCCCTCATCAGCCAATGGAATGAGTATTTGGAAAAGAAAAGCCAGTTGGAGCAGTGGTTAGAGAAACTGGATCACAAAGTGGAGCAGCCTTTAGAACCACAGATAGGTCTGAAGGAGAAGTTTGCACAGCTGGACTACTTCCAGGCTATTGTTTCTGAGATAGAGGATCACTCTGGTGATTTCCAGCAACTTGCTGAAAAAACTGCAGAACTTTACAAAAAAACCGAGGATGATTCTTTTGGAGCAGCAGCTCAAGAAGAACTGGAAACACAGTTTAATGACATCACAACTGTAGCCAAGGTAAGATAAAGGAAAAGGCTTCCATTTCAGGTAAAATTCTTAAACAATTGTATATAAGGCTAAATTTTTGATTTTTCTTCATTTATAGTGCCTGAAAGACAGAATGTATTTGAATAGTCTTGCCTTTTGTTATAGTTGAATCTAATAAAAGTGTTGTGTGTAGTTTACTAAATATTCAGTGGAATGCAAAAAATATTGGAAATTGAAACTGGTACGGTTATGATTTTTTGAACATTGAAGAGCATATGTTTTATTCCTAGTTTAACATATACAATAATAGCTTCATGTATACGATAATACTTTGGAGAGTATTCCATATTTATTTTCATCTAGTTCTTTTTTTTTTTTTTTTTTTCATTCCTAGCACACATTAACCTAGAAAGATAAAAATGGAATGTCTCCTCGAGCAGAAAATATGGTCAGAAAGAGAAATATTATTTTCAAAAATATGCTAGTATTTTGTGTTATTTCAAGTCATTAATCACTGCAGTTGTTATACTGGTACACTATTTGGTTTCTAAGGAAAGATAAAGCAGCTCACGAAGCCCTTCCACCATGAAAATCAGAATGGTAACAGTAGTTCTGAGATTGTCTGCATCTTCACATCAGCATCTTTACACCAGCAGGAGGCCACATAATAAGAAACAAATGTTGCTGTGAGATTGAAGTAAACAATATACACACCTTTAGCAATCTGATAGGAAGTACTGTCTGGGTTTTCATGTATTGAGAATACTGCTGATGTCCTACATTGAAGTAATATGCTGTCTGTAAAATAAAGAAAGCCAAAGTGAAAAAAAAAAAACACAGCAAAACAGAAGACCTAACGAGTTATCTGATAGGAAGAAACATTAAATGTAGAATACATGAATTTACTTGCTTAGAAAAAAATCTGTGCATTTTTGTTTCTTTGTTTTTTATAACGTAGATAGGAAAGCCAAAAAGTGTAATACAAGTTTGCTTCTGTCTTTTTCACTTTAATTTCTGGGGTAAGATTTCTCTTGTTTGTAATTACCACCTAATCGCACACTGACAGGTTTTTTCTATGATGAACTTTTGCTTTCTTTACTCTTTCCAGTTGGAAAAAACAAATCCTATTTCTAGAGAATTAGCGCACTTTCATGCTTGTCTAACTGCTTCTTTCAGGAGTATTGAAGTTGGAACAATATAAAAATTGATCCACTAAAATTGTTTAAACTTGTGTACAAAGAAAGCATCACAAGTTAGCATGGCAGTGTCTCCTAAAATCTATATACATCAATAAATTTAATTTCTTGGGCAATTTTCCTTGTTCCTCAAAATTAAAATAAAAATCCTATGTGTGGGTTTAAGAACAGATTATTTTTCTTTCAACAATTACTTGTCTTAACTGGACTAGAGTCTTCCAGATGGACTGACTGTCTGGGAATAGCTGTACACATCTTGTTCTACAAAACAGGCCAGATGTGGACAAGAAATTGTATACAGACTTTAACGTCTTCTTCTGGAAGGAGATGCTGCATCAAGCTTATGGCAGATTGCTCTTTAAATCTATCTAAACCAGGATACAATCTAGGGAATTGCTGGGACTGCTGACAATCAGAGGTCAAAGATGCACCCAGGGAAAAAAAGCTGTACCAGAGAAGCTCCAAGAATTTGCATTGTACCTTTCTACTGAAGGCATTGAGGATATTCTCACACCTGGATTTCTGTTACAGCAGGCAGGCAAGAGAGAGAGTTTTCTGTTAAACATATGGGAAATCTTAAACCAAGGAATTAGATATTAATAACTACCCTTAGGCAAATGGCATTCAGCTGTGGTTTCTTGAGAAATGCTCAAACAGAAAGCACTAAAAAGCTGGCCAAGGAGGGGTCACTCTGCCAGCCTGTGTCAGTGCCAGCTTCAAGGGAGGCCCTATGGGGAACTGCAGTCTTATGAGCATGGCTGAAGTCACTGGAGGGCTGCACTCAATAATGAAATTGGAGGACAGTATTGGATAAATATAGACTGCAGTTTGGTATCTGGAAAGCATAACTTTAACAAATGGTTGTGGTTTAAATTGGCAGGCAGGTGATCAGCACACAGTCATTCAGTCACTCGTCCTCCTCTTAGTGGGATGGGGAAGAAAACTGGGGGGAAAAAAGCAAATTAGAATGGATGGGTTGAGATAGAAATTACTTTCTAAGATGAGGGATGTGGGGGGGGAGGGAAGAAAAAAAAAAGGATAACAGTTATAATATATATTATCATATATATTATGTTCTATGACAAAACAAATGACGCACAAACAATTGCTCACCACCCAACATCCAATGCCTAGCCAGTCCTGAGGCAGCAGCTGCCTGCCTGGCCAGTTTCTCACCATTTAAGTTTTTCTCTGCATGATGTCATATGGCATGCAAGGTCCCTTTGGCCAGTTTAGGTCAGTTATTCTGGTTCTGTCCCCTTCCAGCAACCTGTGCCCTCTCACCCCTCCTCACTGACAGGACAGTAATGAGAAGTTGATATGTCCTTGGCTCAGCACAGCACTGCTCAGCAATGACTAAAAAAACTGTTTTGTTATCAGTATTGTTTTTCCCCTGAAGTTAAGCCATAGCATCATACCAGACACTATGAAGGAAAAATCAGCTCAGTCTCCGCAGAAACCAGAACACAAATATGCTGGAGTAATATTAAAATGCCAATAAGCACATTAAAAAAAAAAAAAAAACAAAAAACAAAAAACAAAAACAAAAACAAAAAAAAAACAAAACAAAAAAAAGTGATAGAGTGGGTTCTGGGTTTTCTAAAAGCCTTTGACAAGGTTCCACAAAAAAGGCTATATGAGAAAGGGAGAAAGGTAAGCTACCACAGCATTGGAAGAAAGTTCTTTGATGGAGTAAAAATGTATTCCAGAGTAGGAAGAAAAGGCTAGTGGTTGTTTCAGAATGGAGAAGAGTTAACTTGGGTTTACTTGGATTGGGTTTAACTTTGATTCTCCAACAAACTATATGGGAGCTAGTTTTGTTTAACTTCTTTTTTGGTGCCTGGAAAAGGGAGTGCAGAGTGACTCTTGGAAATAATATGCAGTTATCTTGGACAGTCCAATGACAATTCCAAAGGAACTGTCAAAAATATGAGCATGTGGGCAAAGAGGTGGTTGGTGTACTTCAATGAAGATAAATATAAGGCAGTATCTGTTGGGGGGTAAAAATATCTGAAACTTGATTGCATGATTCTGAATTCAGAACTTGCACTTACAATCCAAGGGACCACAAAAAATCACATTTTTTTTGTGATTTATTTTGTAAATTGAATTGTTACGAGAGGAGCATATACAGGGTAGGATTCATCTTTTTGAAGTGAAGAAAGCTGAGGGAGAAATGCAGTCACAGGTTATAATGAAGGTAATGGTTATACAAAAATTTTAGTCACCAAATCTGACTGTTTGAAAAGGTATTTATTAAACCTAGTGGATTTTTTTTTTAGTGATGTCTCCACTCTTTAAAGTAGAGGTAAGCAAACTTCCACAATCTGCTGCTATGTATTATTATCAGGAGTTTTAAAAAGGAGATGGGCAAAGCAACTGACAATATATTTACAAACACACACTGAAGAAAAGGAGTAGGCATGAACTTTCTTATGTTCTTAATCTAGTAATTGTAAATGTCACAGAAGTATAAGGGAAACTGACCACACGTTTGCAAGGTTTGTGTGTTATCCATAAATGATGCTGTGGAGAATATTTGGCTGGATGAGTCAGTAGTCAGACCCAGCAGAGCACTTCTCATGTGCTGAGTATGTGGTGCAGGTATCTCTACTTTGCTTGCATCAGAACACGTATTATGTCTCCTCCTGCCAATCTGAGGCTGTGCTGTGTTTCTGGTGGCTGTCTGTCCTCTGCTCTGTGGAGAACAGGACTGTGAAATGTGGTAAATTCATCATCTGTGGGGCAGCAGTAATCCTACAGCAGCACAGGGCCACCAAGCTGAGAAAAGAATTGGTGCCACAGAGAGAGGACGGGATAAGACTGGCCTCATGATATGCCAGGAAAAGCTGCTGCTCCCTTCTCCACTTCCTGTAATGGCAGGACTTACTGACAAGTTTGTAGTCTTTTCTCTGAGAGAGAATAGTACTGACTGAAACTGGTAGAAGCCAGTGCCAGAAGAGGAGACCTACTCAAATTGTTTTTCCCTCCATGCTCTTGCTCTAATGGTGTTATAGTTTGGTACAAATGAAGTAAATAAGGTGTGTATTTGCCTACCATGGGGCTCTTTTACTGCCTTAAGATTATGTTTATTTTTTTTAAGTCAGACACATGTGAACATTTTCTTTCATGTTTGTTGCATCAAAAGCATAAAGATTTGAAAACTTTGAGGATTAACTTTAGTTCACAGTCGTTTAATTATAACCATCAAGGAAGCATTCCAAGAAATTATGATGATTATTTTCAGAAGGAACAGCAAAGCTTAATAATCTAATTAATTTTGAAAATCATTATTTGAATGTTGAGTTATTCAAAATTAAAAATATCTTCTGTTTAATTCATAACTGTTTGAAATGAGTTTAAGGACACTTAGGTCTAGATCTATGTATTCACCTAGGACTGAAAGCTATTGAAAGCCTTATGATTAGCTCAGTTCACTTTTGGTTATTTTTGATAAACATTTCTGAGAGTTAATTCTTATGAATTTAATAACAAATCAACATAGTGAGACCCAAGGCCAGTCTAGAACAGAACACTATTTCATCTGATTATAATACGGTAAACTGGCTCCACATGAAGATTATGTTAAAATATTGATGTGGAACCATGCTATCATTGCATGTTTGTGTCAGGGAAAGAGTCCTCTAAGAGCACAAAAAAGATGACTTGGGCATGGCCTCTATTTCTGATGTGATGGCTAAAACAGAACTTGGCACCCTAAACATCTGTTGCACTTTTAAACAGCAGTACTCCTCAACTGCAATGCTCATATGGGAGGACTCTGTGACTCTGCTTAATATGTATGGAGACTTTCTTCTAAATAAGAGCAGTGTTTCTGCCAGCATTCCTGCCTAGACAAACCTAAATCACAACTTGTTCCTTGTAGAACAATGTAGACCAGCTCTCTATACCAATAAAATCTGGACAAAAGCCAGGAAAGTGTTTAAGTACATTAATGGTTTGTTTTTTTGGTTTTGTTTTGTTTGTTTGTTTTGGGTTTTTTTTCCTTCTAAACAATAGGAGAAAATGAAGAAAGTGGAAGATATCGTGAAGGATCATTTGCTATACCTCGATGCAGTGCATGAATTCACAGACTGGCTCCATTCTGCAAAGGAAGAACTGCATCGCTGGTCAGATGCAACTGGAGATACATCAGTGATACAGAAAAAGTTGGCCAAAATCAATGTAAGAAATGTTATCTACCATGATTTCGTCTGTGATTCAGAACCTATAATCCAGAGCATTCAAACTGTGCCATCTTGTTCTTTGTTTATTTGAAGTGGGGACTACATTCCAGTGAGCTGAAAACACACTTTCTAAGCTATGTGTTATTGCCTCCCTTCCTTAGCTTTAGTAAGCTAATGTAGTGAAAGCACAAACAGACCTGAGTTAGTCACCCCATACATGGAAACAGTTTTCAATAGTGGAAGCCCAAAGGCATCACAGAAGATTGTAACTTAACTGATTAATGAGCTCTGCCCTGTTCTCGTCCTTAAAACTGCTGTCTCTTTAAGTACAGCTTCTAAATCAATGTAAAATAGAACCTTTTGTGATTTGCATGAATTGGAGATGCATGAAATAGTACAAGGATCATTCTCCTTAAAAACACCGGAAGCATAAGGGTTGCCTCTCTATATCTATTCTCCTTACTCTCCCATCTCATTCCTAGGCATTCAATGGAGAGCAAGTTATGCATTTCAGAATGTAGCATACAAGCAGTGTTTTAGCCTGATCCTACACAAGAGTGGGCCAGTGAACAGACTAGAGGAGGCTACAGACAGCCAGGTCAACTTAAAAACACACGTCGATTCTCTTGGATAGTTTCTAGCCTCCTTTGTGCTTAAACTCCCCACGTATAATATGAGAGAGGGAGGAGACAGTAGTTCCTAGTTCATAACACTAACAAGATAATAAATAACATTACTTTAGCACATAGTGACTGGAATAATACTTGCATTTTCCAACTTTGAAAGCTGAAAACTACCAAATTATCATATAGCTTGTGTAAGGCTGAAACAGTCCGTTGTAGAAAGAATTCGGAAAGAAACAACCAAAAGCATAAAGCCACATGTGCAACCAATTATGGCACATCACAGATCACGAGTAGGCTGCCGAATGCTTTTTCTGGGCAGCACAGCTTTGTTCTTAAAACTGGCACCAACAGCTCCTTGTCTAAAACATCAGCAAAAAAAGTTGTTTTCTGCGTCTTAACCTAAGCAGTATTTTTTCAGTATCTAAACCAGTTATTCCTCCCCTAAGCTTATGGAGGTTTCAGAACGGCTTTGCAATCAGCACGCAGCACGTACCCGCTCCTGACTGCGCTTTGGTCTCGTGCCGCTCCACACGCAGCACGGCTGTTCCCGAAGCGGTGCGGCTGGAACCGCAGCTCGGAGCAGCTCACAGCACTGCGGCTGCCCCACGCGTGGCGTGTCCCCTTCCCAGCTGTGGCCTGTTACCATGGCGATGTTGCTTTGCAGGAGCTGGTAGATTCTCGCCAGATCGGCGCGGGCCGCCTCGGCCGAGTGGAGACGCTAGCTCCCGCAGCGAAGCGCAGCACGAGTGCCGGCGGGTGCCAGCTCCTCGCCGCTGAGATGCAGGCCCTGCAGTTGGACTGGAAGCAGTGGGAAGAAAGCGCTTTCCAGAGCCAGCGCAGCCTGCGGGACGTGCTGAGCCAAATGGCCGTGTCGGAGCAGGAGTTCGCCACGCAAGTTGCGCGGCTGGAGGAGGCCGTGCAGCGGTTCGGCGGGCTGCTGGCTGCCTGGTCGCAGAGCCTGACTCCCCTCGACAGCCGTCACACCGACGCCGAGATCGTGGAGAGCTGGCGCAAGGAGAAAGTAAGCTCGCTTCTCTTTTCCAAGCTGTTTTTGGGTTGTAAATGTGCAGTGACTGAGGACAAGCAACTTCTTCCCGGTGGCACAGTCAAGGAATGGGAGAAGTAGCAAATAGTATAATGCATTTATGAAAATTTGCCTTAAAAACTTTCCAAGCTTTTCTGTAACTGTATTCAAAGCAAGTAGTGTTTACAGAAAACATTTATTTGGTGTCTGCTGTACAAGGCTTAGCGAGTGCTGCCTGGAGCTCAGACGTTAACATTTGGGCTTGGCTGTAGGAAAACGAAGGAACTGCCTCTGAACTCCTCAGGCTGCTCAGCATTGCAAGCCAAGTCTGTGACTGGGAAAATATGAGGCATTTCCTACATGCTGAGCAGCAGCAGGAGTGATTTCTTTCTTACTTACAGTTTGTTGCACATGTGTTGATTTTATACATTCTGTTTCTTGAACTGTCCTTCACGTTATGCATGTTAAGATCTTGTCCTGTATTTGAAGTTGTATTGGAAACTGGCATACTTGACTGCTTTGCTGTGGAATGTAGTGGAATTCAGAGAAACGGGCAGTTCCTCTTTATTTTGCTCTTCTAGCAAATGTTTCACATGTAAATACAACACACACACGAATGTGTATTCACAATAATCAAGATACTTCTGTGTATGTATCTTAATTCATATGAATCACAGATGTAAAGATACACAGTATCTTATCCTTCCCTTCTTGTGTTACAACAAAGTACCTTCAGTAAAAGTTACTTTATGCTTGCTTTCTGTCCTCTTCACTGAAGAAACAGTCAAAAAGTCCCAGAACAACTTCTGTTTAAGCTGAGATTATAAATCTTTTCCTCTAGAGTCTGTGCCAAGTTATTTCTATGGCTTTCTCTTTCACAGAATTCAAAGATTTATGCCTTTGTGCCAGTACATAGCTGTATCAGTAATAGAGTTGAAGTTACACGGGAGTAAATAATAGTACAAATAAGCAAATGGTTATGTTTCAAAAAAGGAACATAGGGCATGAAATTGTCAGCAAGAAACAGCTGCAATTATGAGGACTTTTTTTTTTTTTTTTTTTAATAAGTGGAATAAGACACTATTCAAGTGGAGTAAGACATGTTCATAAGACATTATTTTGCTAATACTATATATGCTATGAATGTACTGTCACTGTAAAGCTGTTTACTTAGATTCTAAAGTTATAAACTTAGGATAAGGAGAAGTATGCAGAGTAAATACAAGATGTGCTATGTGCAGCCCTACTATATAAAATTATATTATTTGAGGAAATGTTGTCAGGACAGTAGTCCTTAATTTCTGACCCAAGAAAATGGATCCTATTGTGAATGTAAAACAACATTGCAGCATTCTCTTTCCATTGTCTCACAGCAATTCTGTTGTCATGTAAACCAAGGCCACAAGTTAAAAATGCATTTCCTAATTCTCAGATTCAGCAGACTCACTGTTATTTTGTACTCAAGCTCTGTTCCTGTTAGATATGTGCGGTATAATGGCACTAGATCTGGAATTTGCAATTCAGCAAATTATTTTGATAATTGTTGGATTTGAAGTTAAATTCAAGTCACTGGAACAGTGCTAACAGTTCTAATGTGCTTTCACTTTTGACGTATGTAAGTGGGTATCTGTTAGTTAACACTTTACAGTGAAAAATACTCTTTGTGGCAAATGATATTACAAATTTCAGAGACAAAAAGTATTTTCAGAACCTTTGCTGTATTTTTACGTATCTGATTTGTGGCTTTCCTAGACATTCAATTTTGTGCTGATAGGCAATTGCAAACCATTTACTATGCATATTTTCAGTCATTCTTTTGTGCAGATTCAGAAACACAACTGAGAACTTCCTTGCCCCACTTCCTTTGTCTTCTTTCTAATCCATCTTCACTTGCATGTGATCAGTTTCTTACAACAGTACATACATTTCTTCCAGATCAGACCTTAGATTTAGCCAAAGTGTCAAACTGATCTCTGCATGCCAAATGCTCTGGTTTGCCTGCAGTGCAGAATTTTTGCTGCAGTGAATGTAACTAGCTAGAAGATTATTTTTTTTCTCTCTGTTAGTTTAAGAAGAATTCCCAAATAATCTCATTTGCAATGAGACAAGGAGCCAAGTCTACACTGCTAGTTATGCTGGAGTAGCTGGCAGGGTTCCACAGTGGAGGTTACAGTATCACAGAATCACAGAATGTCAGAAATTGGAAGGGACTTTGAAAGATCTTCTAGTCCAATTCCCCTGCTGGAGCAGGAACACAGGTTACACAGGAACACAACTGGGTGGGTTTGAATGTCTCCAGAGAAGGAGAACCCACAGCCTCTCTGGGCAGCCTGTTCCAGTGTTCTGTCACCCTCCCTTTTTTTTCCTCATATTTATGTGGAACCTCTTGTATTCCTGCTTGCACCCCTTGCCCCTTGTCCTGTCACTGAATGCCACTGAGAAGAGCCTGGCTGCGTCCTCATGACACTTACCCTTATATTTAACATTATTGAAGTCACCCCTCAGTCTCCTCCAAGCTAGAGACCCAGCTCTCAGCCTCTCCAAGTAAAGGAGATGCTCCACTCCCTTAATCATTCTTGTGGCTCTGTGCTGGACTCTCTCAAGCAGTTCCTTATCCTTCTTGAACTTAGGGACTCAGAGATGCTATGGACATCAACATGAGGACTGTTTCCACAGGAGTAGTTATCACGTTTCTCCAAGTGACGTTAGCTAAGTCAACAAAACTGCTTTTGTTTCTTTTTGACTTAGCTGTTTACACAGCAAGTCTTTCAGTGCAGCAGTGATGGCCAGTATCTCTCACAGGATTGTAACAAGATGTACTTTCAAATTATGAAATCTTCTAGAAATACCAAAGCTTTAGAAACTTCGTGAAATTTTGTAAATTCATTTTTTTGGACACAGCTCAAAATAGTTTTTATTGAGCATAGTAAACTCAATCTGGGTTTGCAACCTCAAAGCCGAATGGTGTTCTGGGTTGCATCAGAAGAAGAGTGGCCAGCAACGAGAGAGAAGTGATTGTCCCCCTCTGTTCTGCCCTCGTGAGGCATTAGCTGGAGTACCGTGTCCAGGTCTGGGGCCTCCAACACAGGAAAGATGTGAAGCTTTTGGACAGGGTCCAGAGGAGGGCTGTGAAGATGATCCAAGGACTGGAGCACCTCCCCTGTGAAGACAGGCTAAAGGAACTGGGCTTGTTCAGCACAGAAAAGAGAAGGCTGTGGGGAGACCTCACTGTGGCCTTCCAATAGTTAATGGGAGTATATAAACATGATGGAAATAAACTTTTTACATGGTTAGACAGTGATAGGACAAGGGGGAATGTTTTTAAAATAAAAAAGAGAAGATTTAGATTAAATGTTAGTGGAAAGTTTTGGACTGAAAGAGTGGTGAGGTGCTGGAACAGGTTGCCCAGAGAGGCTGTGGGTGCCTTATCTTCAGAAGTATTTAAGGCCAGGTTGTATGGGTCCCTGAGCAATCTGATCTAGTACTTGATCTAGCAGCTGGCAATCCCGCCTGTGCATGGGAGTTGGAACCTGGTGATCCTTGAGATTCCTTCCAACCCAAGCCATTTTATGATTCTATGGTATGATTTTCTATTCCTTAGTTGTATGTACTTTCATGTATACACAGCTAATTGACAATACCGTGTCTCATTTATTAAGACAAAATGCATGTCTTGGACTTTTCAATGAAAACTTTCTGAACTAAAAAGAACTGAAGAAATTTAGCCTCTGGAAGCCCATAATTTCAAATGAATGTCTGAGCTCCTGTGTGTTTGATTGTTAAAATACTCTCAAAATGGATACACATGAATTGTAAATGAAATTGAATATGAACTTTAATTGTTTATTTATTTATTACAAATATTGTTCACTTCTTTTGTTTTAACAGGAAACATCGGATGCTCTGATAAAGTCTGAACATGTGATAGATAAGATCAAGACTCAGTTAAATGATCTTTGTAGATTTTCTAGAGATTTGAGTACCCATTCTTCAAAAGTTTCTGGGTTGATTAAGGAGTATAACAGGTATGTTTTTATCTTGTTTATAGGTAATCAGTCCTTTATGTGTTTGCATACAAGATTCATTTTAGGGAATCATTAATTGGAATTTTAGAATTTGAAGCAGAAGTCGACAGTGATTAGAAGCATTTTTTTTATAGTGGTGTCAATAGAGATTGCAAAAAGTACCACTTCATCTTTTTTTTTTAAGAGCCTAACTATGCTACCAAACTGAGCTTAAGCCAGCACCCGGTCTATTGTGAGAGGAATCTTTGTAAGAAACTGAGGTACAGCTGTAGTTAATTTGCCAGAAAAAGGAACAAACTGTAACAGCTATTTATTTATTTGTTTGTTTGTTTATTTCGTAATTTTATTCTTCATTTTACTCTTGTTTTATCTAAATCAGGGGAGCTAATTTTTTGTCTGTTTTCTTACATTCTCTTAGGTCACTATAGCTACTGACATCTGTACTTCAAACACAAAATTCTGCTGTCTCTTGCAGGGATTGTAGTTTTTTGGCTTTTGTAAATGCAGAAGGGC